GATTCATGAAAGTCATTACCAAAAATAATTTTGAATGGATAACAATAATTAATCAGCTGACAGGCCGCCATATTCTTGTTCCTTTCCGTTCTGAATACTCTACACTGAATCATTATAGGACAACTCGAAATTTGTTGATACCATGTACATCATTCTAAGAGTTTTCTTAAATATTGTTAAGGAAACTTTTGGTATTCCCCCGCGAGGAATGATGGGTATTTAGAAATATAAATAATTCATTAATATTGGTATCAAAAGTGAAAAAAAAATTCTCAGTATAATGTCTTTAAAATTTTCAGTGGATTGCCTGAAATTAGCTCGTTTTGAATAATACCGTTATATATTTTCATTTGAAGAAATATTTTGGGTGAATATTCTGAGTAAAAAAATGTGATGTTAGCAAGAGCTTTTTATTATTCCGATGTGAACTTAACCACATATCCATTAATTACTTTGTATTAAAGAAAAAGAATTCGAATCTTATTTGAATATTTAATTTCGATCAAAATATCTTATGGTGTGCCAAAACCCCGTAAGATATTCGTTTTGCAGAAAGCAAGGAAATATAAATTATTGATTGACTAATAAGAATTATCTATGAAGGCTTGAAGAACAAATATTTTATATTTGCAATCATATATCTAACTAGGTAAGGGTGAATAAACCATAAAAATCTATTTACTTTTTTGCCAACGTTTCACGGATATATGTATATTGATTTAAGCTTCTTGAGATCCTTGGTATTGAGAATGATTCAAAAATACTTCATCAGTAGATTTGGTGCTGTATAAAGTTATCTCATTGATGATAAAACATGAGTGACCATTTATTTTCAAAACAGTCATTTCCTTCAAATTCAATATGGTGGCACTATGAAGCCACTTATGTAAATATCAAACAATTCAATGTAGTGACAAATAATTTTTTTGAAAAAATACTGGAATTGAAGTGATTGAGTGATTTCAACTCATAATGAGATGAAGCAGCTTTGAAACATCTGATTTTTCACATAAAACTGAACTGCATAGTATCTTTGATTTTTTGTAGTACAAGTGGAACACTTCGATGTTGAAGTTTGAAAATGCCACTTTCGAGATAGATGAAAAATGTCAATTTTCCCATTTTCTGTACTGCATCGAGTTGTTCGACAATATTTCCGTAGATTATATCATGGTACCGTATTTTTGAGAGTATCTCTGATTCACCTCACAGCACAAGAATTCACAAGATTCTCTCTAGAGAGCCGACTGCTGAAATTGGGTCGCTCAAACGACCCCATGGTACATTCACGACCTCCAGTTAAAAAAACTCCAGAGCTATTGATAGAAAAATACTTTCCTGAAAATCTGACTCTTGATAACAACAGATCTCTCACCTTTGAGGTCGCTAAATGCCGAAAAAACAACAATTGAAAGGACATCAAGAAGTTTATCACAGAATTGGCAGTTGAAACCACATACCACCCACTTGGTTGGCAGCAAGGGTTGGTACGACCAATGAGTCTTGCATCCTTCATCTTGAAAGGACTTCAGAGGATACTGGACGGACATCAGAAGGGTGAATAATCACCAGTACGTTTATCAAACCGGTGAATCGACAGATTAAGCATTGAACAACTTTGCAAAGGAAATCTCCCAATCCCTTGACAACAAAGAGATCGCGTTTGCTGTATTTCTTGATATTGAAGGAGCATTTGACAATGCACTTTGAATCTGTGATCCTTTCTGTTCGATAGTCTGCTTAATGCCTTAGACAAAAGAAAAACAGATCTGCAAGCTTATGCAAATAACCTTGTCATCTTGACAAGGTCTACGTCGGGAAGGGTAGCTTGGTAATATCCTCCAAAGCACGTTGGACGTTGTTCACAGTTAATGCCTGAGGGAGCAGATGTCTGTCAACCCCAGCGAAACGATGATAATTTCCTTCACCAGGAGAAGGAAATTCGACGATGTAACGCCACTTTCCCTCAATGGTGAGGTAATTCCATTTGGAATAGAGGTGAAATATCTTGGCATTGTTCTTGATAAAAAACTCACCCGGAACGCTGTCTTATGAAACATTTCACACAAAGCCAGACCGTCCCTATGAATATGTCGAAGGTTTTCTGGTAAACCTAGGGGTTGAGGTCCCAAACGAATTCATTGGATTTTTATGATGATTGTCAGACCAATGATCACTTATGGTGCAATTTCCCGGCGACTGAAGGTTTAATAAAAAACGAACTAGACAAAGCTGTCTGGGTTACAGAGACAGGCTTGTCTGGCAATCAGTGGTGCCATCATCACCACACGCGAGCGGTTATGGAGATCCTTCTAGATCTACCTCCTCTCCACATTTTTCTGAAGATCAAGGCTAGATGGATTGCATATAGACTTGTGCACATTGCCAATTGCACAAATCAGTTTGATGCAGAGCGCAACAGACTGTTAGTGAACACTAGGAGTCACAGCATTCTGGAAATTACCTCTGAATTCATGCCACCAAGTGTCAACTTCGAACTGTTCCCAAGTGGAATGGACTGGATCGTCCGGGAGAAGTAAATATTATTAGCAGATAGTTGTTGGGTCACAGATGGATCAAAAACACCTTTCAGTTTTGATGCAGGTGTTTTCAGTCGCAAACCGAGGACAAATATATCAACCTGACTAGAAACCTATGCGACTGTATTTCAAGCGGAAATTTACGCAATTAAGTTCTGTGCGGAGAGATTGGAAAAATCTAACCTCGTACACGAGTCAATAAAAATATTCTTGGACAGCAAAGTGGCGTTGAAAGCTTTCGGCTCCTATCGAGCAACGTCTGAATTGGTAGCAAATTGCCAAATACGACTCTCCTCGATAGAAAGACTTAACATATTTTCTCTGGTCTGGATTCCTGGCCATACTGGCCTGGAAGACAATGAGGCTGCTGATTCCTTTGCAAAGGAGGGTGCTGCAAGCAGCTCCATCGGCATCGCGGCAGAACCTCATTGACATCGCTTCAGGCTTTGCCAAACAAAGATTGAACATCTGCATGGCAAGAAGATTTATGTTCTGACAGAATGTTCCAGGATTGACTCACTCCAAGGAGTTCATTCACCCTTCAGAGCTTGATACCAAATATTTGTTGGACTACAGTAGGGATGAACTACGATGTCTAACAGGCCTTCTTACAGGTCACTGTCGGAAGACAGTGTGTGTCGCCACTGTTTGGAAAATGATCAAACAGCAGAGCACATACTTTGTGCCTACCATGCTGAGGACCAAATCAGGTTTTAGAATTCGACAGAGCCATACTCTTACCATCTGACCTGAAAGACCACTCACCATACAAACAAATCGACTTCGTTAAGAAGCTGGGTTCATTTGGTCCAGTGGCAATAGGTGTGAGCCAAAATAAACCCTTGCTGGTTGTGGTCGAGGGTTGAATAGACGTTCTCATTTTGGACCACACCTAACTCAACTATCTTTTCAGTTCGGGGAAGATAGTTTTTATACCACCATAATTAATAGAGATTGCTACTGATGTTATACCATTGAAACAAGAGTTCCTATTCAATCGAATAGTTCCAAAAAATATTGTGGTTCAATTCAAAACTATAGCTTAGAACCCATGTCCGTTGAAACAAAAGGAATTTTGATTTGTTTCATTGTTGAAAATTTCGGATTCACTGTCATTCACTTTGTTTCAAATTTCGAATCTCTTATCTCACGAACAACTGAATGGCGACGTGTAAAATCATTTTACTGTTAACCGATGAATGCACTGCAGAACTTTTTTAATTGAAATGTATCTGAAGATTAAATTTATGAATGTAACTGATTGCATAGACATATATAGATAAGGCCTGAAAACTTGAATTTGAACATTCATAAATTCAATAAATAAACATATTTAGGTATAGAACAAATTGTCTAATGTAGTTTTAGTTGTGATTGTTTCACATTGAGATGATGTAGAAGTCTAAAAAAACTGACTTCTTTGTTTCGATATTTTTCGTGTTGAATCACTGTATAGTATGAAACGAATGATTCCGACAGATAGTCTGTCTGTCATTTTGAAGAACGTACACTTGAAAATCGTCAAAATATTTTTTTGCGTTTTTTACTTTTATTTTTTTGTGTGGAGTGGTTGACATGTGACGATGTACACTGCCTAATCCTTTCGAAGTAAAACGAATTGATTCAATACCAATCGTTTGTTTTCTCGTAGTGCACTGATGAGTTTGCGATGGCATATGTCTGAATGTTAAGGATAGCTTACTATACATATTATGATGTATTGATTGGAAAGCTATTATTTTTTGTGTGGAGTGGTTGACATGTGACGATGTATTTCATACGAAGTCGAGATACACTGCCTGATCCTTTCGAAGTTAAACGAATTAATTCAATAAAAATCGTTTGTTTTTTCGAAGTGTACTGAGGAGTCTGCGATGGCGTATGTCTGAATATTAAGGATAGCTCATTATACACATTATGATGTATTAATTGGAAAGCTATTTGGATCGTTAGTTGTTCCCAACATTTTATGCACATTATGATTAAACTTTATACTTCATAATCTGAATAAATATATTAGAAGTTATCACGATATCAATTCAATAACTCTTGTTAATTATTGACGTGCTAGCTACCCTTAGCAAGATTTTTTCGAACAATGTTTTCAACTCACTCCTATTTCATTGGTTCATAAAATTAGTTGCTTTCAATATAATTTAGCATTTTCATATTTTCATTTTGCAAATACGATAATGATGGTGTTTGAAACCTCTCTTCAAGACCTTCGCACGTGAATGGTAGAGAAAACCTATTGCCTGAAAAAGTTTGAACAGCATGACTCATACTTTTTTGTTTCATCAAATAAAGAATAATGTAATTAGTAGCACTTGGCAAATATGCATCATTGCATATTCGCATAGTGTTTTCAAAAATGTCATCTGATGCAGTTTAATTTATTCTTTACTAAATATTGTTCTATAGATTAGATTATCAAAGTATACAACTACGCTGTAGAATATAAAGCAGTTCAATTCAATGTTTATTGCCAATGATACAAGGTAGATTTGTATCGAAAAAATGATCGAAGTGAAAACACAGAAGGGTAGCCAAATTCTCGAGGAAAGTGGTACTATACCAACTACTCACAATGAGAAAAATCAAGAACCCACATTCGAAAAGAAGAATAAAAAGGATACGTTGATTTTCCGTTTTTCTGCAGCAACAGGTAATTTGATTTTGATAGAATAAAATAGATCTGTATGTGTTTATGAATGTGAAACTGAACATACTCCACAGTATCTTTCACAGTCAAAAATTCAATAACTTTACCCATTTCTGATTTAGTGTGTGAAGATCTAGATTGACTTTCAGGCGTACGAAGAAATTGGTCATGCTGAATGTTGAAGCGTTTTTTTGGAAAATGTAAAAATTATAGGGATAAAAAGTGACGAAAAAAAATTATTTCAAGCTACTCCATAATTCGATTATCAATATTCACAATCGTTATCGGGTGATAACTGGGCTGCAGATATTCTGAGACTACTGATGAGGTACTTGAGGACAATCTAAGTGGCCGTCTATGGATGTCTCTCGGATACTTTTACTATCATTGCTGGTGTTCCCCAGGGATCCATTTTGTCTACAATCCCCTTTTTATTGTATATCAACAGCTCATTAGAAAAAATGAAGAATCCAATATATTGCTTCGCTGACGACAGTACACTTGTCTCGTCATCACATTTGGATTCCAGGACATTGGCTACGAATGCATATCTTCACTAGCAGCAGGAGGTTGAAAATCTTAATGTGGATCTGGAAAAGGTTTCCAATTTGAGATGAGAATTATCAGGTTCAATTCAGTGACACAAAAACCCAGGCATCGGTTTTCTCCAAGAAGATAAATGTTTCCGAACCGGATAATAATTACAGGTCGGACAATTCCGCTTTCTGCTTCAATAAGTGTGTTGAGGGTTGAAATGGCTGGAATTGCGAAAGCTGCTTCTCAGAAGCTTGAAACACTTCCAAATAAAAAAACTGTTCACACTTCAGCAACTTTTGAAGCTTTATAAATCTCAGATCAGATCTTCTTTGGAGTATTGTTCTTATGCATGGAGCTCTGCCCCCAAACTCACTTTGAAGTTACTGAATTATATGCAGAAAAGAGCCTTTCGCCTGATTGGAGACGCGAACATCACTTGCAACCTTGATAGTTTGGAACATCCAAGAAAGGTTGGAGATTTGTCCCTCTTCCAACGATATTTTCACGGGAAGTGACTTGACACATAGGATTCACCAAGAGCGGTTCATTTCAGAAATACGCAACCGACTGTGACTGCTCATCGTTTTGAGGTTCAACTCAGGACACTTCGAACTTGACTGTTTGGTAACTTTTTCATTTGGAGAACTACGTTCGTGTAGAATAAACTTCTCGAGAACGATTCAACTTCCAGCGATTCAAATCCAATGTGAATCACTACTTTCGCACAGCCCCTCAAGGTATTTTCTGAAGTGCTTGTGTTTTGTCCCTGAAAAACGTAGTTTTTAATCATTCCAAATATCAAGATATTTGGAATATATTTACTCTTTCGTGGACAACATGTCATGTGCACCAGTTTTTATGTCAATTTTTTTCATTTGGAAACTAATCTGGTGACAAATCATCGATGGTAGCCTAATAGGTAGACGTGGGTGGTTTGCTTCACTAACTCAATCAACCGCTGTGTGAACCGATGGTTCGGAGCGCAAGGCCGGACTATCAATTTTCACCTTCTATCGTTCAACCCGTGTTAGGAATCAGACAATGAAAGGTAAGACCTCGTTAGTCTTCAGTTCGCACAAGTTTCGACTTTTGAGAGTGGTCGTTCCTAGGAGGGCGACAGCTGGTTAACGGAAAAACATATTTCAAGAAACAGAACAGACAATATGTGAATCTGAAAATTAAAAACTCTTCAAATCGAATGTGAGTTTTATGAATTTCAAGTAACAATATGCAATGGAAATTTTGCGACTGTTAATAATATGTCCAAAATAAATAGCTTTACAGTTTTTCCTCTTAGTGCCCATGCTTGCTAAAAACGATACTTTTGTATACCTCTTCACCGGCATTCCTCATGGGATTTTATATTTGAGATATGGGGTTTTATATATGGGAAGCATTCTTCACTTCTCTTGTCTAAGTGGTGAGCGTCACTACTTTCATTGAAATTGAAACAGTCAGCTGTTTGAATTTCGCACCAAACGTTAGTTTCGTGTTAGTACAGATCGCGACATTCGATTACAAAACCAGTATATTTTCATGTCTACCATCGTAAATTTTGGTAACTCACTGTTTCGTTTGAAGACAAGGTTGCCCATCTGTCCATGAATTGTTACATTGATATCAAAAATTGTTTTCTTCTCCTTCTTCAAACAAAAAAGTAATCATCGTCTTATCGTGATATCAATAACAAGTTTTTCAGAGTATCCATGGGGTGCATAATTCCTAGATTCACTTCGCCAGAATTTTTCTCAGTCTTCCTTTCATTACCAGTTTTTTGTGAAATAGTAAATATCACCAGCTCATCGGTATGGTGTATTATATTTTAATTTTTTTTTCCATAGTGACAACTTCATTTTGAAACAAAAATTGGACTCACCAAAGATTCAAATATGACAGAGTGAAATTCTGTCAATAAACGACAAATATTATATTGTCAAGATGCATACAATACCACTAGAATTTCTTATCTATGTGACATATTTTGTCAACTACTCTCGACCTACGGTCTCTAGATAGAGAGATCCAATAAATTTCAGCATTCAATTCAAAACCAACCTGTCTGAAATCAAAATGACCTTCCGAAACATAGGTGCTGAGTGCACTTTAAGTGATGTATCGTGACAATGTCAAGATGCCTTTTTAGTATTCAGTGTTGTTGACATTTAGGAATATTCTGATATGGTGTTTAAACCGGAGATTTTATACGAAATACGATTCCTGCACCATCTATCGAAATGTGTTCAAAGTTGAGCTGATCTTATTTTCTGCGTCGAGAGATTTCGACAAAACAGAAGCTAATCGATGAGAACACTAGAATTTCTATGCATCTTCAATATTATGTTTGCTTTGGCCTACCTATTCATTCAATTAATTACGTTTACACTTCTTATCACACTGGGTTGTTGTATTTGATCGGATATTCGTTATCAGGGATAAGCTTTCAGAATTCGTAGTAACCAAGTAATATTCTTCTTGATATTGTTGAGCACAGGATGATTTTTTTGAGTTATTTCTAAAAAAGTATTCGAAAGTATATGTTGAAAATGTACTCGAAATATAAAACTGGTGTCTTTATTTGAATCTTTTTGGGGTTTTCAGTTGTACTGTGGTTGTGTATTTGTTTTCGAGAACCGTAAAAGTATTCTGACCTTCATTTTCATACCATCATTAAACATTTTTCTCTAATTAGGTTCCAAATAATATAAATTTGACATTAAAACTAATCCGCATGATATACAGGGTGTTTCAAATTCGATCCTCACCATTGGGATCTCGGAAACTATGAGAGATACGAAGATTGTTAAATGGGGGGGAAGAAAGTTGCGCATTTACCTAACTTGAAATCACGAGTATATCTGGAGATATCCGGTGAAAACAGAAATTTCGAAAAATGGTTGTTATTTTTTTCTGACTTTATTTTTCGAAGGATTCAGAAATATACTTCACTTCCATATTGACACTTTTTCCCTGCTACATAATGGTGTTTTCAGATTTTATATCCGACGTTTCGTCTTCAGGCCACCATCATCAACTTTTTTTTTTCTTATAGGCGCTACATTGGATTCTTTCTATTATGAATAGAACCAGATTTTACCTTTTCAATAAATGTAAAAAATAAGAAATGATACAAATTTTATTAGAAATACGATGGAAACAGTGTTAGGACATCGAAAATGTATTTAATCTTGTGTTCCGAAAGGCAATGATGGTGTCCGGAAGACTAAACGTCGGATAGCAAACCTGAAAACACCATTATGTATCAAAGGAATGTGGCAATTTGGAAGTGTAATTTATTTTCGAATCCTTCGAAAAATAAAGCCAAAAAAAATTCAAACCATTTTCGGAAATATCTGTTTTTTCCAGATATCTCCGGATGTATTCGGAATTTCAGAACTTTCTGTCCTATTTTCAGCTAGGTAAATGCGCAACTTTGCTCCGATTTCATCATTTTCGTATCTCTCATAGTTTCCGAGATCGCAATGTTGAGGATCGAATTTGAAACACCGTCTATTGCTCACGAGGAAGTGAATATAAACTGAATATATCGATTTTTGTCCAAGATGTTTCTAGATTCATCGAGAATGGCAAGAGAATGTTTGTTCCCAATTACCGAGATTTGGTATACGGTCGTGAGATTGCAAAAAAAGTTTTTTCAAATTTCAAGACAATGTTGATCCTAAATATATGAAATGTGATATACGGTCATGAAATTGCAAAAGGAAAACTTTTTTCAAACATTCTTTTCTAAGAAAGAAATGCCAATTTTTGGAGTTTCTGACTAACAGTAACTGAAAGTGACAAACTTATTCGAATCCAAATTCATAAGTTAATAAGAAAGTTTATAAGTGCATGAGAAATTCTCATTATTTCGAAGACATGAAAATTGATAACATTTTTATGTTTGTTTTGTGTGCTCATAATTTGAATGTAAATTACAAATGATTTTTTTTATGAATGTCAGATAAGTAATATTGAATTTTTGTAAGTAGATTTCCCAATTATTAGTTTTTCTACGCAAGATGTTTCGACAAAAAAATACATTTGTGAATACTTCATGTACAATCTCTGACTGGAAAAATAATACTCCACCCGTTTCCTTTCAAAAAACTGACTTCATGATGATATTGATTGCCCATATCTTCTGAATGAACTGAACCGGTTATGTACTGTGTCCTAATTTCCATCATATTACAGAGCTCAGTGATGTAGGTAAATTGTTTACATTGGAGAATTTCTGCTTTGGCTGTGATTTCCATCAACTATTTTCATATTTATTTATTTGTGATACAATACTCTACAAGGCATAGCCCAATAACAGAGCAGGAAATAACAGAGTATAATAAATACATCACAAACAAGTGACTGTAAAGTCTACAAACACTACAAACAATTTATTATGGGTGACAAAACAATTATTTCAGGAAGTGGGATTTTTTATTTTACAATTTGCAACTAAATATATCTGAATTATCGCTAACAGAGTTTGTCATTTTACACATGGTATGGATCGGAGAATTCTCCAGAACATTTGTACGAGATGTTTTTATATAGAAAGTACTCGGGTGTTTCTGGAACATATTCTAGGAATGCAAATATCAAACTTTTCCAGTAATGTTGGGCAGTCAACTATGCTTTTGATAATTTTATAGGTAAGTGCAACACTATAATAATCACGCCTTTTTACGAGACTGCAAAAATTATGCTTTTGTAGCAACTCAGAGTGGATTGTTCCTATTGGAAGATAGGTGTTCAGGCTCAGCAGTTTCAAAATTCGTCACATTCTATCAATGTGATATTGATAAAAGGGGCTCCACACAACTGACGCGTATTCTAACTTTGATCTTATGAAAGCATAGAATAAAGTTCTTAAAGTCGAAGTTTCTTTGAAATCACTACTGTTACGTGTAATTCATCCGTACAATCAACAGGAGGAGGTTACAACATTATCGATATGCCTATTAAATGATAGCGCAGTGTCAAATGTGATGCCAAGATCAGTAAATGTTTCTGGTCTCACCAGGGAAACGTTTTCTATTGAGTAATCAAAGATCAAGATATTCGTTTTCAAACTGTAGGACATGACCTTACATTTATCCGGGTTCAGCGACAAGTTATTTCGATAACACTATTCTACAACACGTCCTACGTTTGCTGAGAGGTTGACACATTCATCTATGTTCTCAACGAGGCAGTATACACATCTATAACATCTGCAATATCATTAATGAATATATTGGAGAGCAACGGTCCCTGATTTGAACCTTGTGGAACACCGGAAGAAGCACTATATTCGGTAGATTTGAAACCATTGAGCTGAACATATTGTTTTCGATCCCGTAGATAGAACTGAAAGAGTGCGATTGAGGATGTCGATAATCCAGAGGCTACTAGTTTGATCAGTATAATGCCATGGTCAAACCTGTCGAAGGACTTACAAAAGTCTGTGTGAATAACATCAGTTTGGGCTCAGCAATATGTTGGGTTACAGTCAGAAGATTGGTGACCGTTGAACAATTTTCCATGAAACCGTGTTGGTTTATACTTATATTGCAACTAACATGCCGATATATAACTCGCTCCAGCAGAATCTCAGAAACCTTTGTGAAGTTTCAAATGATAGAGATAGAACGATAATTTGAAATATCTCGTCTATCTCCTTTCTTGAAAATGGGACAGACTTTTGATAATTTCCAGATCCTTGGTATTGTAGCCGATCTCAAGCAGATATTAATTAGTATAGATAGAGGACGAGCAAGCACAAGTGCAAAATCTTTTAGGATAAAAGCTGGAATGACATCTGGACCAGTGTTCTTTTTAGGTTTGAGCGACCTTAGTGCCTCGTATACTTCGTTTTCACTGAAGTTCGATATATCAAGAAAGTGATTATTATCAATATCAGAGTTTGATTGGAAAGGGGAAGAAGCGGTATACTATTGTTTGAAAAGATTGCCAGGCCAGTTCGACGTGGGTGTTTTGTTCACTCACTCGAATTGACTGCCATGTTGGTTGGTGGTTCAGTTTGAACGATCGATCTGTCTTTCCGGTAACAAGCTGTCGCACCCCTACGAACGACAACCCTCAGAAGTCGAAACTTGTGCGAGCTCAGGATTAACGAGGTTTTTCCTTTCAAGGTGAGATTCCTAACACACATATTATTCTAATAGAATAATTTATATAATAATACTTACAAAAAAATTGTTAGTTGCCGTTGAATCTGAAGAACACTTGGTTTGTGATTGGAAAGCTCTGATTTCAAAAGAATGGCCCTTGAAGTCTATGATATTAAGAGACTGGCCCTAGGAAACTCGGGTCAGAAGTCTCAGTAAAACAATATGAAAACTCGAAAAAGCTATTTCATTCTTGATGAATACTATCTTTTTCTCATTTCTAGTTGAGGAATATTCTTGTTGTTATAATTCTAATGAGTATTGTAAACAATATCAACACTCGTCGTGAAAGAATATTTAAATATTGAAGGGGTTATATTTTCAGAGTTATTAATTTTTTGAAAAGTATTTGGCTTTCTATACTACTCCATCTACTCCCAAGAAAAGAAGGAAGTAATCAATTTCAAAAGTAGTAACTCTATACATACATGTGTAGATCATGCAAAGAAGTAACTTTCAGACACAAACTGAAAGAAAAAGCCCTCCCTACTTTCATACAAACATTGAATCACACGGAAGAAATACTCCTTCGAAACAAATAGTTTCATATGAACACTGAACTATACAAAAAACACTTTCTTCTACTCATTTCGTATTTCAAACATTCGTCGTCATGGAATTATATCAGATAGCATTCATAGGATTTCTACACAATATACTAAATGAATGATCAAATTTCATTTACTCGAAACACTGTCATTCTCACTGGTAGACATCGATGTTTAGCCATAAGACACTTGCCTCAGGGCTCTTCAGTATCAATCTGGAAAATATTACAAGAGAAAACCACACAATTCATTCATATTACAATATTTCATGTCACGGAATAAGTTTGATCTACTTATGTCATCATAATGACATTCATTAACTCATTTGTTTGAATTTCAGCCAGCAGGAATCTTGTTTATATTGAAAGGAGGGCTTTTTCTTCCAATTGGTGTCTGAAAGTTACTCCTTTGCATGATCTACACATCCATGTATATAGTTACTTATTTTCAAATTGATTACCTCCTTTCTCTCTTTGGAAGATTTCCACATTTCTTTTTGTACCAAGATGAAGTAGTAGAAATCCAAAAACTTTCTTTCCCAAAAAATATTTGAATATATGTTAAAAATATGTTTCAGTATCATTTTTAAAATGACCATATAAAACGTTTTTTTCAGCATATCTCATCATGGAGACAATTGGATTCAATCTAGTATGGACCCCACTCATCTTGCCAGATTTGAGAAATAATGACACGAATATCAACCCATTGGGAGAACCCATTGAAATAAGTGAAATGTCATTGTTAATAGGATTACCGCTAGTAATGTATTTATCTTCGATTTTCTTCATGGTAAAGTTGCCAAATATTATAGGAAGAATAGAAACTATGAAGTACATGTCTATAGGAATGGTATTTGCGAATATTGCCGTGGCTTTCGGAACACATATAAATTTTTACTACATAGCAAGATCTATATTCATAGTATTGGCAGGGTCAGCCTTATTGGCAGTTCAGCTATACATGAGAGAAATTGTAGAAGATCACAATAGAGAAAAAACTATGCCTCTAATGTATTTGGCTTTGCCAAATAGCTACTCTTACTCTTTCATAGTGATTCTTATGGCAAGTTTGGGAAAGTTCGAAAGAGTTCGGTATTTCACCTCGATATTGTGTACAGTACCTCTGGTTATTAGCCTAATTTTTCTCTACACTTTTGTACCTGAGTCACCAGTGTACCTAGCAATGAAGGAAAAGGAAGAAGAAACGATGAAAACGTTGAGGAAGTTAAGAAGCAATAAAAGCAACAAAGAAATAGAGCAAGATTATTTGAAAATTGGGGACATATCAAAGTCTAGGATGGAATCTGAGAAAAGTGGATTCTTGACCCTGTTTAAAACACCAGCTCTGAGAGGAGACATGATAGTTGCGTTGGTAGCAGATATAACACAACATTTATCTGGAGTTGCTGTAATTATGCCATTTCTTGGACCCATTTTCATGGAAGCTCATACACAACCATCTGGATATATACTGGTAATCCTGTTAATCATCGGGTGCACTGTGACTCTATCTGTATTTCTTTTGATCAGAATAATCAATAAGAGAATTGGAAAGAGGGCTTTGCTCCTATTTTCTTTTTGCTCAACTGGCATTTCATTAATTCTTCATGGATTATATTTTCTCTCTAAAACTAAGAATATCAGCTTCATTGAAAATATACGATTATTGCCAGTTTTCTCTATTATAACGTATGTAGTGGTTTACTTTTTTGGACTGGGACCATATTCTTTGCTGATAGTTGAACTTTTTCCAAGTGATCTGAAATCGGCAGCCACGTTTCTCAACACTATTATTGTTACATTCTTGATGATAGTCACGTCTACTGTATTTCCCATCGCTGTCGAGTATATTGGAATACATTGGTGCATCTGGACCTTTTCATTTTTCAGCTTCTTGGGTTCTTGTTTCGTGTACTTCAAGTTAACTGTAATGAAAGGTAAATCACCTTCAGGAATTCAAAACGATTTATGTTGATAAAGAATTGTAGTATTTCAGTTATTACATTCAATGAGAATATAATATTTAACAAAAGTCTGTCATGCTACATTAACCTAAATCTTGATCAAATCTACAAATGTATTTCTATGATATGAATATGTATATGAAGTAAATTTCATACCTATTCTGTTGTTTATTTGAGCTGAAAATATTCGTTTTTTGTCCCGAAATATCATCAATATAAATAAATATTACAGATTATTGGTGCCATGTCTGTTAATTTTGATATAACCGATGTGTTTTAGTAAGTCACAATATATTATTATTGGTTTGAGTAGTTATAGTGTGAATATGTTTTGTGATGAGTTAATAAAGTTCATTCTGTACTATGAATATTACTGAAGTTTTTTTCCAACGCCAAACCGTTATTTTGAGATGAAGTGAAGTCATAATTTCAACAGGGGAAATACATAGATCCACTTGTTCGATTGATGACCTATTCATTTTATAGAAATTCATATTGAATATAGAATGAATAACTTATGTCTATTTTCTACTGAGTTTTTTATTCGTTACGACCGGTTTCGGTTAGTTAAACCAGTTTACCTGAGAATGGTTTAACAAACCAAAACCAGTCGTAACGAATGAAAAACTTAGTAGGAATCAGACGAATGTTATTTAGTTTATCCTTCATTACCTTGATCACAGTAGGCGATAGGCGTCATATAGCGTCATATAGTCATATAGTGTGAAGCTTCTTTTTTTCGAGAATATTCGAAAAAGGAAGATTATGAATACAGTCAAATTGACAACATGAAGAATATAAATAAAATATATGGTTAGGTTAGGTCTGAAGTGAGTGGGTCTATTCGATCCTCCACCGCAACCCGCAAGGGTTTATTGTGGCTCACACCTATTCATTTAGAGAAAACACCTATTTATTTTAGATAATTTAGGTGCTACGGTTAAAAGATGTACTCTGTTGAAAATTGTAATTCATCGAGAAATAACGAACAGATAAAGTTATAAATTATATCAGTGTGTAGCTGGGAAAAGATTTGTTCGAACAAAAATTGATTGGGAGTGAAAACTGTGTGGTAATACCCAGGAAATTAGAGGACCTTTACCATTTGCCATTATTGGAATTGCCTTTAAGGAGACACGATAGAACATATCATCCCTAAAAACCAGCTGATAAGTAATTTACGAAAACACCGAGTAGAATCATAGACCATAGGCGTAGTATTATTTTAAATTATTCAAAATTGAAATCTGCCATGAAACTAAAAATGGTTAATTTCGAATGCTGTAAACAAAAATCTTTTCCGGACAATTATTTCATTTGTATTCGATAACTTTGCACAAGATAACTTGATCAGAGATGTTTCCCATTCATGTTATAATAAATCGAGGATATCAACATCCAAGCAAATTATTAGTAATGAAGAAGGTATGATGACACAGAAAACAATCTCGAAGGTAGACATAGAGCGCAGACCAATTCAGTTTTTTCGACATCCACTGAGCAGACACGGGTACAATGTCAAACACCTCAGTCCTATTGTTCAAACAAGATGCCACAAAAATGCGCAATCACCAACCAAGAAGACAATATGAAGAAAAAAATCACCACTCAAGAAACTACAAACTATACACAAAAGAAAACACAAACTCTGCATATGATAACCACGGAATTGGACATCCTAGGAAATACAGCAGAGCTCCTTCAAGAACATACCGGTATCCTGGACCACATTACCCAACCAGAATATTCCACAACAGCAAGTTCAATTACAATGTTTTCATCAACTACTCTCACACATCAGACCCCTACTGTGATACGCAAAACCACAACCAATCTTAATTCAATATCCTTCATGTTATTAAATATTCAGTCAACCAGAAACAAAGTTAACGAATTATCTGTTTTCCTAGAGGATTTAAATCGTCCAGATCTGATTTTGTTGACTGAACCTTGGCTTGCTCATAATGAACCTTTTAACTTACCTCATTATATAGGAATGTCAAGAAACAGCAGAATTAAGAGCATCCATGGAGAAGGCATGATTCTTCAAAATAACTCACTGAATATAAAATTCGTCAACGTGGAGAAATTCAATGATTATTTGAAAGAAAAATCATTTGAATTTTGCTTGTTACATTCACAAATATTGAACATGTATGTATTATGTGTTTATAGAACATCCACATCTGATGTAAATATGTTTATACAAAAGTTAGAACAGCTTCTCAATGTGCTTTCGTTAAATGCAACTATCCTGATAGCAGGAGATTTAAATATTAATTTCGCAGAAAAAAAAATTTGTAACCACTCAATCTCTAAATAACCTTTTGACCTCATTCAATTTGACTATGCATATAGAGTCCCCTACACGAAATTCTCAGTATTCTGCCACAATTATAGATCATTTATGTACGAATTTAGACAAACAATATATTTCTTGTGATATTACTTCAGCTGGTATGTCCGACCACGAAGCTATAATATGCTACTTATGCTACTGTAGAGAGAATTTTATAATAAACCAGAATAAATACAGATTCAGCAGATTATTTAGTAAAAAAAACTATAAAAGATTTTATAATACATGCCTGAATACCAATTGGGATATTGTGAAAAATGACCAGGATTCATTCTCAAATTTTTACAATCATTTGGTGAATATTTTCAATAGTTCATTTCCGATTCAGAAATTAAAAATCAAGAACAGAAAACGTTGGATTACTAGTGGTATAAAAATTTCAGCAAAAAATATGCGATCGCTGCACTATATTCGGAAGTTCAGTGATGATATCTTATTTAAAAGATATTTCAGTAGATACCGCAGCATCTATAGGCAGGTTGTCAGGCAAGCGAAAAAAAGTAACTATAAAAATAGATTCGAACAAGCTGATAACAAATCGAAAGAAACTTGACAAGTAATTATTGACCTAAGAGGTAAATCTAATGAAATACATGAAGTTTCACTTTCACCAAACGTTCTCAATGATTATTACTGCTCTATTGCAGAAAAACTGACTGAAAGGTTGACTACTCAGAACGACCCAATGGAACAATTCAAAAACTCCTTTATTTCTGAAACGTGCATTCTATATGACAGTGATATTCATGAGCTGAAACAGGTGATTGTTTCCATTGGAAAAAAGCCGTCATCTGATTACGACGACATTACAGCAAACATTTTGAAAAATCTCCCAGATAACACATTACTCTTGACCAATATTATTAATGCATCATTTCAATCAGAAAAATTTTCTGATTTCCTGAAGGGATCATTGGTAATACCACTATATAAAGGAGGAAATCAGGACAACCCCTCACATTATCGGCCAATTTCCCTAATTTCCACATTAGGAAAACTTATAGAAAAACTAGTAAAGCTGAGGATAACTGTATTTCTGTCAAAACATGAAGAACAGTTTGGCTTTCAAAGTGATAAAGGCACTAATGATGCAATTTTCTCACTCATGGGAAAAGTTTATACTGGAATCAATAGTGGCGAGGTTACTGCTGCAGTATTTTGCGATTTTTCGAAGGCTTTCGACTGTGTGGATCACGAAATACTGCTGAGGAAGCTTCTTTATTACGGTTTCAGATCAGTGATACTGCGCTGGTTCAGCTCATATTTGTCAGGTCGTAGCCAGATGATGGAAACAAACCACCGTGGTTCCAATTGATAATTCTCTTTGATATTCTGCGGTAGGTAGGTGCATATGTCGTCAAAGAATTGTTTTAAGTCTGCCTCAATCAGCAGCTCACATAATTCGTCAAAATTCCTGCTTCCATACGAATATTTATGACACAATGCCACACCAAGTTCATACTTCTCACTAAGCTCCAAAAGTTTTCGCTTCTCCTCAGCATCATAACATACACTCAAATCATAACTTGATGGATGTAGAGCGTCAAAACTTAGATCAGCCAATTCCCAAGCCATTTTTCTCATGGCAGAATCCAAATCCACTGCCACTGGCCACTCTTGTGCTGAATATTGACCCACATATTTATAGGATGGAGAGCTCTGAAAATACAAGAATTGCATTCTCATTAATTTAAAAATTATATTGCGAAAAAAATAAATATGCCCATTTGTAATTTGACCCTGTCTATATGAGCAAGTTGATTCATATTTTATATTTATTTACCATATTTCCACTATTCACAAAAAAAAATTGTAGTTATACTCTCAAAATTTTCAATCCAATTCATTGAAGTTCATCAATGATCGGGTTTTAGCACCAGCATAATCATTTGAACTTTGACCCCTATGAAACGTTTTGGAAGCCATGCTTCCAAAACTACCTGAATGAATTTACGATATCGTGTGGAATACATTGACATTTTTCCAATTATATAGTCTTTATCAATAACCAGAGCTGTTATAGGTTTCTGCTCCAAAGCTTCACTTTGTTGAATTATAGCAAAATTAAATTTTCAATAACATATTTCAAATTATCTACAGTGTCACCATTAAAGTGCGCACCATATGGGAAACTTTTTTTTCGAAAAGTTCCAATGAAGTTAAACTTCGACACTTGTTCGTGCTTTGAATTTAATTTAAAATGATGCGGCCAACTGCGTCCCACTGACGTTCAGTGTTTGTCAAATTCAACTTTTTTTTTATTGAAAAAGTGCATTTCTAGATCGAATTTAATAAAAAGTTACTTGAAAAAGTTGTTTCTACTGCAATTTTATATCCATATGCCAAATTTTATGCAACTAGGATAAAGTTAACGTTTTGCTTATTTTTGACAGATATCCCCTTTATTTCAAGAAACAAGTTCGGTTGATTGTCATCAATTCATGTATACATAACAAACTCATCATGGAGTTCAACTTTTCTTATAAATTTTTACTCATACTGACATTTTTAGAGAGAAATTAAAAATGTGCTATAAAAATTTTAACATGACTGGTGCAAAGTTTCAATCACTTGGCTATTTTCTTAAACAAACGTCAGTACCTTCAATTTTGAAAAAGCAGACACAACTCAAAAACTGCAATAAGTAATAATAAAATTACTAGAGTTGAAATTACATTAAAATTTCAATATTCGGTATTTACAGTATTATTTATAAACACTAACTAGAGCGGTAAGGATGCTTAATCACGTTGAATAAAATTTTTAAGTAGCTAACAACATACCGGCAAGTAGCTAACATTTTTAATGAACGGCATCCAGGAAAAAATCTTCAACATACTACTGTGTCAAGGATAATTTCAAAATTCAGAGAAACAGGATCCGTAGCAAATCAATTTGAGAAAAAGCACACTCCAAGTAAATATGATGAGGAGGCCCAACTTAACATTTGTTCAAAAGTGATTGAAAACGGGCAAACGAGCATAACCGATATTATAAAAAATACCAATTAC